TATATATATATTCCAAAGAGCACCCTCAGGATTGTTACATCATGCTTCCTTATTTAGACTGCTCTCTTATCCACAATAACAAGATCACCCAGATGTTAATGGTATTCTCTCTACTTTTTCATCTTTTTCATTTCTTAGGAGTCTATGTTTATTATCAATAATAACACACTTAGAAACATTAAAATTCATTATCATAAAATTTTACTGTATTTAATAAAGGTTTCTGTTCTCACATCATCAATTTTATTGTTCCATCAAATAATCAATAAATACAGTGAGTTTACTAGTCACATTACTTTCACTTCTTTTCAGCTAGGAGAAGACCTAGCTGAAAAGATGCAAACATCCTTGCTCCAAAATTTCTGAATACTCTTTAATGGGACAGAGTATAAAAACAAGTAAATACAGTACCATTTTAAAGTAAGGTCAAGATCCAAAATCTGGTCACTAATAACTTCCTGCCTTATCCTTTTGAGATGAGGAAATCTATGTATATCTTCATTTTTTGCTCATATATATTTTATGACACCTACTTAATATGTAATTACTTCTCTTATGTGTTCAATAAAACCTGTTTATGATTCTGTAAGCAATCATTTGATTGACCATGTATTAGAAAAGTGACTAATGAAAGGTTTAATACTAAACAACTGCCAGATTATATCAGGTTATATTGCTACTATTTAATAATTAAATGTTAAGTAGTTTGGCCTAGAGGTAGGCATTAGATGCCATCTCTTGAAAAATTTAATAATTATAATTGAATTAATAATTTAAAAATTTATAAGGTTCTGAAAGAAAAGATCAGCTGAAAGTGGGGCTCAAACCTGCAAAATCCTGCTTGCCATGCAGACGTATTGCTAGTTACATTATCCAGACCTCTGTCCATTCTCTTATAATTATTGAATTTATCAAGAAATGGCACCTCTAGGCCAAATTACTTGACATTTAATTATTAAATAGTAACACTAGAGCCTGATGTAATTTGGCAATTGTTTGACATTAATCTAAAACTTGGGTTAATGGATTTTTATATTTAGAAAGTTAACCAAAATCTCAGCAAATATAGTGTAGAGAGCCCTGTTGCCATGTACCCTGGCTGGTGATAATATATGAGTAAAGATAGACCTTTAAAAATTTTTCTTAGAATAGTGTTCCCTTATGCAGACTGCTGCTCTAAAAATAATGCAACATTGCATTCATTTAAACAAACTGATCTATTAACAGGAGTCTTGCTAATTAAAACATAAGAAAGAAAATTGGAAACATGGGCGTGAGTTCTCTTAAACAAACTGCTTCTAATCTGATGCTAGGTTAAGTGGACTTAACTGTATATAATAAATCATTTTACAATTTCATTTTATTGAAGAAATTTCAGAATTAAAGAAGTGTTTCATATTATATTAGATAACTAAAAGATACAAAATATTGCTGAAATTATAATTGAAATTTTGGAAATTTACACTAAGGTACAGAATATTTCTAGGAGAGAGAATTTATTTATATAACTTTTTATATAATTCTAACTAATTTTTCTATATTACTAAAATATAAATCAATAAATTTTATATGAATTTTTATTAGAATCTAAGGAAATAATTATTCATATATCAATGACAATATTAGAATCCAGATAACAAAAAACAGATAAAACAGCTTCTTATATAAAACAACAGATTAGCAGAATAAAAAAAGCACCTATTTGCCAATTTGTATGGTACAAGTGTTGAGTAAGCTACAAAACAGGCATATTCTTAACAATGCTGAGAATTTCCAACTGCTGATATAAATATTAAATAATACCTAGTAACATTTACTAAAAAAATAAAAGAATCTATTCAACTTTTATTTAAGTGAAAGCTTTTTATATCCAGAATGAAACAGTAAAGTAAATAGCACAGATAAACACTAGAAATATATAGGAAGAGTTCCAAATATTGGAAATAAATAATGTACACACAAGAAATGGAATATTTTGGATAGTAAAAGTATTTCTTTACTGAAAATTTCTTTACAGAAAAATTAGGTTAAAATAAATCTAATCTTATATTATAATCGAGATGAGTTAATAATAATAAGCACAGGCTCAAATGGTTAGGAGTTGAAAGTTGAAATTTGGTACATAGAATATGTCACAAGAATGCACACTAAGAAGGAATTTTCTGAAATCCTCCACCATGAAGGAGAGGGAGAGGGTTAAGCATTACCCCAAACTCGGATTCTACCGTACTATTTTAGATGTGGTCTTCTGCGGAAAATTGAGCATATTTTCAGACCCATCTAAAAATTCTCTAATTAGTCTCAGAAGAGGGAGAACCCAACTCTTGCACCCAGTGAAAATTGGTAAGATCGGCTATAATCTAATAATCTTAATCTTCGCTATCATCACTCTTTGCCCGAGCAATGACAGACTCATCTGCTAGTAAAATGTGCATAAAAAAGCATTCAGGTAAATATAATAAGAATCATGAAAAAAAATAGTAATCTTTGGAAGAGTAGATTTGAATATTACATTAAAAACCTAATGAAAGTTTAAATATAATTAGATTAGAAATAAAATAAAAAACAATTATATTAAATATAAATATTTAAATTTTAATCTTTCTTCCAATGAAAATCCATCATTTTTCAAAATCATCATCATTAAATTACATTTATTTGTTATTTTTAGCTTTTACATAATTAAATACAAACATAAATGATTAAAATATCGATTACATAATTAATATTTATAATTTTTTAAGCAAGTAAAAATTCTAGAATTTTAAATTATTACGATTTAACTGAGTATTAGAGGTTTAACCAATTGAAAGATTAATTGATCTTTAATAATATCGTTAGTAATCAGCCAATCAACTATTCTGATATAAAATGACGTCACGGATAACATTACGATAATATTACGTTAGGGTTAGAGTTATTCCGTTCTCTTATTTGCAACACGCTTACGTCCGTTATTATTTCATATAAAATTATATATATAAACTTTAGGTATTTGCGCACATAAGAATGAGAGTCATACCATTTTATAAACTTTAATTGCAGCATATCACTTCTTTCCGTCACATTTCACTTCCGCCGCCACTCGTCCTCAACAAACTACAATTCCCATAGCGCCACCTACTGTTTAAGTTTTATATATGTTTTTAGAAATTTAATTTTTAAATTAAAATATTTATAATTTTAAAAAGTTATTATATATTAATATAAATAAACTGCTGAAACAAATTAACTGCTGAAAATTAATTCGTTTCAGCATATAAAAAACGTTGGAATGTTAGATATGGCCACGATGATTTTCAGAATGTATTAAACGTAATAATGTTTTTTCCTGTTAAAAATGATATTGAAATGACTTGCATTTCTGAAAAGTAAAAGTCACATACATTTGCTTACTTGTTATGTTAAGAATTAACTCATTATTACTGTATATTAAAAAAAATCTCTCATTTTAATTATAATGTACAATTAGATTAATATAGATAATAGCATTTAAAGAATTTTGCCAATTTCATGTAATTAAACAGGCTTGTGCGCAGGATTTTTAAATGAGTTACTCTAATGGGTCTCTGGACACAGCGAGCTTAGAAAGCCAGTATATATATATATATATATCAGTGGCGTGCCGTGACATTTGATGATAGGGAAGCTGTGTTTCTGTAAGAAGACGACATCCAGGGGCAATCAGTCACATGCGCGTCAGTGATGGTCTAGTGCAGGCATGATTGGCCCGCGGGCCAGTCATGGCCCGCGAAACAATTTGTTGCGGCCCGCGACGTCAATTCAATAATGCTTTTTGATTATTTTTTTATCTTGATACCAAAGAAAATGTGATATTTTGTACTTAAACAAATAATACTTAATAAACAAAATTTTTGAACTCAATTATTATTGTTTTTATTTTTATTTTTATTTTTATTTATTCCTATTACTTAGAGATATTTATTTTATTTGATTTATTAATTTCTTGTTTACATTACGTTTTTTCTATTTCATCTTTTGAATTTCAAATTAAAGTTCGTTTTGGCAAGATCATTTATTGCATAATTCGCACTATTTTGCATATAAAATGCGTGTTTTCGACATATTAGTAAATTAGTTTATGCTTGTATTTTCAGTCTTGCAATTTTTTTTCGGATCAGTTTACAGACCCTCTTCAGGCCTGTAAATTGGCTGAAAACGTTTTTTCTGTGATTAAAATTATTGCTGGAAAGGTACAAATGCTGGGTTTTTTNGAAAGTTTTGAATGCTAAGTGAATTTAATTATTTTTAAAATATAAATCGTGTAGTTGTAGGTTCACTGGTGCATGTATTCCGTTCCAGAGACTTAGGGGTACTGTACATATTAATCTGTGTGATATTCACGTTTTTTAAATTTTGGTCTTGACAGACATGAGTTAATTCAAGATGGCGATGCGTGAAATACGGACCCCATTGTGTGGAGGCCGAGGGGGGGAGAAATTTAAAAAAACTCAATGAACGATAATATGTGATATATATCGTCATCGTGGACTGCCAAATGGTAACAATCAACGACATGTGGAAGCAGTTGAGTCAGAGATAGATGCCTCGTTTACAATAACACAACCCGTTTATTAAACACGAAAGAAGCTTACAAGATTTCCGCGATCTTGGAAGTTCTGCGGCGGCTGCTGCCTCTGGGTCTTCCTCTCCTTTCCAAGATAGTCCCATTTTGAAGGCGTGTTCCTTGTTCGCAAATGAACAATTCCATACGTCTCGACGACTCCGGGACGATGTGGTCGACTTCCATTGATGGAAAGTTGTCGATTCGAGGTCGGGAGATGGAAACGAAGATGAGCGCGAGACACACACACAACAATAGATCCGTCACTTGGAACTTTTGGGAAAAGAAGCCGTCGCGTCCTTGAATGTCCGGGGTTTTATCCGTTTTCCTCAGATTTCCCTTTCCGATTGGTTTCTCCTTGTCACCTGATGACAATTCGAAACCTTTCGGAGGCGCGGGAGAGGTCAAAATCGAAGTTTAATTCGATCTCCAACCGGAGATGGTCGACGGACTTACATTCTTTTATTTTTCTATTATAAAAGTATTTTTGCGATAAAATACACCGGAATAAATAATTTTGTTTATTGCAATAATTATTTAACATTTTTTGTACTTTCATATTTGTTTTTGGCTACATTAAATAATTTTATGAAAACATACAATAAGGTTCCATATTACCACCTGATTTTCTCTAAGCCTACTTTCTGACATTTGTACAAAAGCCTTCAAAAATCATATTTATAGTTACACTAGCGAAAAATCCAATTAGGAACATTTAGTTTAACAGTTACCAGTACTTTTCGCACAAAAAATGTGGGTGTAGTTATGATACCTTGTTTACAATTCACTAAAATGAAAATGGGGTTCCATAATACCACCTTCTCTATATTTTAACCTTTTTCTACCAGTGGCACCCTCAACTTGGTAAATTTTTCTTCCGGCAACTCTATTAATGTAGATTTATAGCGATTTTCATACTTTTAGTAATATATGTAAAAGTTATGGTGTTGCTCAGCAATATATTTCGTTGCACCTCGGTTGAAAACCACAAGGTTAAGACAAAAACCTAACACTCTAAATAACTTGGAACGAATCCGGATGAGTAAAAAAAAAAAAAAAAAAAAACAATTTTTAGGAGTGATCTAACCCCGATATGTCGGGTTTTGTCCGTCACTAGTAGGCTGCCCTATTCTGGACCTGGCTGAACACATAACGGGCTTTCTAAAAATGTTCTCTTAGTGCTGATAGGACAAAAAAGTTTTTAAAAAAGCAATAAGAACTACCGGTATCCTAGGGATTAAAACTACGGATCACTGGCAATCAATTTCGGATTTGACTCGACCAACAGACTGCCCAGAGAGAGTTTTTGGATTTATTCACTTGTTTAACATCGAAATATAGGTCAGATTTCCATCGAAAATCATCCCAGAAGGCACCCCTTTACCCCAAATCGCCCTCATGCTCCATTATTTTATCCGATTCAACAACAACGAACAACAAATAATAAAAAATGATTTGACACAAACCCGAAATATTTTAAAAAATTAAAACATTAAAAATAAAAATTAAAAGTAAGAAATATATTTATTTAAAATAATCAATCCAAATTATAAGTATTTAATAAATTTCTTTTTGGGAAATTTAGTAATTATATTTCGTTATGCAATCGCTGATTTATTCAGTATAGGACCAACGTTAAATTTTTATGAGGAATTTTTTTGCATCTCGATACTCCTTTCGTAATTGGCATTTCGGCTACAAGAAGTTGTTCTCCCGACACCACTTCAAAATGCTGTCATAGAATTGATAGGCGTGGTAGTTTGTTGCACCGGTTTTGCAATGAAAACACGAATCTTTCTTTGTTTCTTTTCAACTTCAGAAAAAATCCGATGATGTGATAGCCTCCATCTCTGACGGCGGGATGGCCGAGCGGTCAAGGTGGCAGCCTACCGCTCTGGGGAACCCGGGATTGAAAAATCCCCAGGAATTTTTCGGGGTGGTCCGTTCGAATATGTCGGCACCCGGCCATCCCATTGTGGGCCTGACCGAACCCAAAATGGGCTTGCTTAAAGAGGCCTACTTAGTGCCCACAGGGCGGAAAGAGTTTTAAAAAAAATCCCATACAAGACGTACTAGTGACCGTGAAATATCACACGACAAAGTCGCGCGATTCCTACGATATATGCTTAAACATTAAATATATATAAATTTTAACGTGCACTCGTGAAACAACCTTAAATCTCGAAAACGAAGTCGTGGATCCCCATTTTTATTACATTTTTGAATTTTCCATCTCAATTAATAAAAAATGGCACAAAGGTTAATCAAAATCTATCGAATGGATTTTGAGAACGAACACAATTGTGTAAGAAGAAGCTCAGCTTCAATAAAACAAAAAACAAATTGGAAATGGAAATAAAATGATTTTTAATACTCTCAATCGATTTAAGGATTGTTTGCAAAAGCGGTTAAATAAAGTCTTTAAAATGTCTTTTGCCTTAATACATAGCTCTCATCTATTCGCTTATCTAATCTAGTTTCTATGTATTATTTAAATTCTGAAAGTTTAAGAAATTGTGAAATTTGAACGCTTATAAATACACAAGACTTCAACAAATATATTAAAAAATAATGCATTTACACAAAAAAATTTCATATTTGTTAAAATAAGTAATACAAATAAGACATTTTAAAAAATGGTTCTTAGAATTGATATGTAATTAAAATAAACAAATCATTTAAAATGATTAACGAATGAAATTTTGAATTCTGAGAAGTTATTAACAGTGGTACCTGAATTATATAGTTAAAGGAAGCAAACAGTCTAGTGATAAAATTACTAATAAAAGGAAGCAGTTCGTTTCCTTTTCCTGTAAAGCATACGATGGAAATGAGGAAGTTAAGAATCATCTATTAATCAGCTAGTGGAACAGAAATGGCTTCAGCAGAAGTTGCATCTAAAATTCTCAGCTTTTTATTAGAAGTAAGTTTTATTTAACATTTGTAAATATCTCTAGCTCGACAGTATAAGTATATTTTTTTTAATTTATTGACAGATATGTATATTGATATCGGTATTCACGTGTTTAGTAAGAGGGACATGCCCAAATCATCCTAGCTGCGAATGTACTCCTAATTATATTAATTGTACATGCACCGGAGCAGAAGATACGGTATACATATCACAGTCAGAAGATAAATTTACTGGTACAGAATTTATTGTAAGCAAATGCACCAGTGTCGAAGTAGAAAAACTTGCTTTGAGAAATCTTAATTTAGAAATCCTTAAATTTGTGGAATTGGGTGAACTCAATGTTCAATCATATTCATTCACAGAGAGTTCAATAAATAACATTCTCATGCATAATATCAGTTTTCTTGATTTACAGTCTTATAGTCTTTCAGATGTCAAAGACTGTTTGAGTTTAGAAATAATTAATGCCAGTGTCGAAAATTTTCCACCCACCGCAATCAATGGTATCGAGGTCAAGTCTATAGAAATTAAAGATTGCCATATTGGGACAGTGCATTCAAGAGCTATAACGCTTTCTAATATAGAAAGATTTACATTTGAAAACAATTATATTAATACTTTTGATATCACATCGATCATAATCAGAACTGCTAAACAATTCAGTTTCATACGAAATGCCGTAACAGCTTCGAGTTTTGGAGCACTTTCTTTAGCAGAAGTCGATAACATAGAAGTGGGTCACTCTTCTTTTCGTCAAGTACACGGCAACATGATCATGACCATGGAAACCAAGTCTTTTTCTTTTCACGACTGCTACATTGAAACTTGCGAAAATAAAGCGTTTTGGTCAATCAACACGACGGATTATTTAAAATTTTCTGATAACGAAATAAAGAATGCCGAAGAAGATTCGTTGATACCTAACCTCGGAACCACAAATTTCAGCGCTATACCTTCGTTGCAAGTAAAACAAAATTTACTAACATGTGACTGTCGTTTGGAATGGATCTTTGAGAGATCTGACGAAAAATATAAGCTGTTGAAAGAAGGGAGTATTTGTAATGAACCCGAAGGATTGAAAGGGAAAAGTTTGTTAAATCTTGAGATGTCGGTAGATAATGCTGACAACTGTGTTGATATTCGAGAAAAATCAGAGGATGTCACCGAAATTATGACAACATTAGGATCTAAAAAATTAACGAAAAAACCAAAAAACACAAAGAAACCAAAAACTACAAAATCAAAATTTACAACTGAAAATACAATTCAACCTAAAGATGCTCAAAAATCATTTATAACTGATGTGTCGGCTGAAAAACAGGAAGCTGTAAGTGGTTCTGTGAAGTTATATTTCTGCAATTCACTTATTTCTATTGCTGTTCTTGTAATGATTAACAGAAATTTTTATTATAAATAACTTTATATATAGCACGAAACATATTGTTTGTTATTATTATTAATAATTAATGATTTGTATATTGTTCTCAAATGTTAAAATATGAAAATATATTTGTAATCAGCTTTTTTTAAATAATAAAATATATATTTAATAATTTCATTCATTGATAAATGTAAAAAAAATGACATGAATTAAGTGGCACAAATTTAACTTTTATCAGATAACAACGGATGTTGATTTTAAGCATGCTGTTTCGCCTCTTTCCTTTTCTGATAAAAATATTATAAATTAATTTTATAATCTCCACTTTACTACAATTTTATTATACAAATAGTTATTTACAAAATATATAGTTTTATTTTGCAAAATAATATAAAATATTAAATTTATTTCTGAACGTAAACTATAATTTATGCGAGTTTTTCCATTTTATAAATAATGTTTATTTTATTACGCGATAAAGCTCATTTATAAAGAAAGGTTATTTAATTTCTTTTTATAAAAAAAAGTATTCAACAATACCAAAAGTGAAATATGATGAAACACGCGATCAATCTTAGCAGAATATACTTTTTTTTTTTTTTTTAACTCTCTGCCCTGCGAGCATTAGAAAGTTTTTCCAATACCACAATGCGACAGAGTGAGCGACAGAACGTGAGATTTCTGTGGTCAAATCACTCATGGAAATTTCTGAGAATCTAGCCGAAGTCTGGGTTTCTAAGAGCGGAAAAATGGCGCCATTCCCTGCCTTGGCCATCCGTCCGTCAAGATTAGTAACGATTAGAAAGCAACAAATAGTGATGACGGCTTTCAGTACCACTACATTAAATCGTATTTTAATTATTAAAATTGCGCAATTTTTAAAAATAGTCCTTCCAGTGCCCGCAGAGCCGAAAGAATTTTTTTAATGGATAAACAAATTAAGATTTTAAGAGGATTCAAATCCAGATTTTTCATAGCGCAAAAGAATTTAACTCGCAAGAAAACCCAAAATAATCGGATTATATGCTTACTCTCAAATTATATTAATTGGTAAATATAAATGATTTAAAATAAACCGAGCGGTAAAAATGGTATCCGACTGTTTCGGGAGACCCGAAATCGAATCCAGGAGGATTGAAAGCCCAAGAATATTTCCGAGGGTGGTCCACTCGGCTACGTCAGGCTCCATCCCTCACCACCCGTCAGAATCATGTGGGTTATGCCGGAGATGAATACTGACACGGGGGAGGGAAAGTCATCCGAGTGTTTTAGCATACAAAATAATTCATTTATTTTGGCATATTCTGTTGTTAATTACATTTATTGTACGAGTACATATGATTGCGCAAATGGGAAGTTGAGGCAGTGATGACGAGGCATACGAATTGTATACAGAATGGGAGAAAAAAAATGAAGCAAAATCTATCGACGCAATATGTGCACACCACCTAATGGGATTGCTAAAAAGGATCTCTTGCAAAAAGAGTTAAAAGTGCCCCCACCAGTGGGCGAGTGGTCTCCGTTGCCGCTCATCGTAGTGGTGACCAGACCCTAAAGACTGGGAGGTTCGTCGTGGGTTCGCGCCACGGTCGGACAGACTGGCTGCTTGGAGTTTTCCGGGTTTTCTCCTTGCCTATAACGACTGAATAGGAGGCCAGTTCCCCCATAAAAGTCCTCCCGGAAGGCATTTATTTCCTGCGCGTACGTATGGCTGTTCGATACAGCCGGCTAATCGGTCGCCTAGCGATCATACACATACCCAAGTCTACTCGGAGAAAGAGCCTACATTGAGCTAACATCTCCATATAAAAAAAATACCAAAAAAAAAAAAAACACCATCGAAGAAGAGTTAAAAGTGATTTTAAATAGGAGTAAAATATTTTAAGGTTCGGTTTATTTGGTTACAGTGCGACAATCTTCCGAGGGAAATGCCTCCGGAGAGAATTTTTATAGAAAACTTTTTAATACCTAAATAATGATAAGAAAACTTGTCATTATTTAGGTATTAAAAACATGAAGAAAACTCGGAAAACTTGTGGTCAGTCCGTTGCGATGCGCGAACCCACGACCAGTGTTCAGTGGTTGTATCTATTCCGCCACTGATAGACAATATACTCTAAGAAACATTTGATTAATTATTTTCAACTCATTTACGTCTACGTGATAATTTTAAACTGCAACTTACTAACGAGTGACCGTCTAAATAATGGAAAAAATCAAAATATCAATATTTTAAAAGTCAATCAAAATATTTTTTTTATAAGTTTTTAAAAACTATCAGAATTAAGATGAAATGCGAAACGTCTGTCGGCAGGTTGAAGCATCCGGCGGCGCCCGAAAGCCAAGTACTCATAGTCATGCTCTATGACAGAAGTTGATAGGACTGGCGATAACAGGGAATCCCCACAGAGCTTCCTTCTCAATTTGTATTTGTACGCATTCGAACAGTTCTATCGCATATCAAATTGCAATTATTTTGTTGATAATTTTTCTGACATGGGTCTAAGTATAATTAATCATATTTTAACTGGGTTAGCATTTAAATCTGAAGCTTAAAGACGATTCGAGTAGTGAAACAGACATTGACGGTATTGATTTGTNTTATTTTATTTGATTTATTAATTTCTTGTTTACATTACGTTTTTTCTATTTCATCTTTTGAATTTCAAATTAAAGTTCGTTTTGGCAAGATCATTTATTGCATAATTCGCACTATTTTGCATATAAAATGCGTGTTTTCGACATATTAGTAAATTAGTTTATGCTTGTATTTTCAGTCTTGCAATTTTTTTTCGGATCAGTTTACAGACCCTCTTCAGGCCTGTAAATTGGCTGAAAACGTTTTTTCTGTGATTAAAATTATTGCTGGAAAGGTACAAATGCTGGGTTTTTTATTTTATTGTGAAATCTCGGGTTATTAAAAAGGAACTTTTTGAGTCGGCTACTCTTGGGCTACTTTTTAGAAAATTTTTGGTTATAAAAGCTAAAAACATCTGGTCCGCTGTCATACTCAAGATAAAAAATTGGCACTTAAGCAGTTTGAGTTTGACATCCCTGGTCTAGAGTCCATTCGTATCGTTTATTCGATAAGCCAGTAAAAACCGTAGACTTCTCTAAATGCATTTTTAATATCACAATTACATTCCGAATCGCTAGCCACGATATAAGGGCTACAATTAAAAATAAAATAATAAAAACTTACTCGGTGAAATAAAATGTGTGGTGGATGTACTGGTACATACCTGGTACAAAATATTCTTCAATTGTATGAATATACTTTTAAAGAAAATTATAATTAAATATAGCTTTGTAAAGAAACGTACAGTAANAAGTATTATTAAACCTTAGTTGCCCTCAAGAGAGCTATTTGCGGGATAAGACCAAAAACAATCGTTCTTTTGCCGAAAGACCACAACGCAAGGTCGCACGCAGTGGTGTGAAACAGTAGAAAACTTGAAATTAAAGTTTATTTCAAGTTTGTTGCGCCCAGATCTGGCATTTTCAGACTTACTGATTGTTTCTAATATTAAAATATGCATCGAAAGGTCAAGGCTTTTCATCGGATACAGAAGTTCAAGTTACCTCATGAGTATGGACCAATGAAAAGAAAGATAGTTTTTCAAACACCAATAGAAAAATGGATTGAGTGCTTAGAAATTACAGGTAACCCCCGTATAACACGGTAGTTACGTTCCAAAAAATTGTCGTGTTATGCGAATCCGTGTTATACGAAACAAAGAACTAATACGAAAAGGAGGGTTAGGTTCCAAAAATTAAAAATCATGCAAGTATATTTTCATAATTAAGATAAATATCTTCATTAACATTTTTTTAAGTGATACATATTAATATAAATTAAAGAAAGAAGAAAAGGCAAAATATATAAAAATGGCCGAGGAAGACAAAGAAAGATATCGTAAAGAAAAGATAGAATTGGCACGTTTGAAACTGGATACCATAAATGAGGATGAGAAACAACTAAGAAATAATGAATCCAAAGAATGTGAAGAATTATCCCATGAACATTCGGATTCGATTAATATGGCAAAATGGATAGCTTGGCTGTTATTTCTAATTATTATTTTTAAGTCAGACTGTGATTTATCAGAATAGAATTGAAGTTAATCGTACTATTTCATTATTAAATTTATAATACAGTAATGAAATATCATAAAAATGCTTGAAAATAATTACAAACTGTAAATGTAGATTAACGGAGATAAGCGAGTGTTTAATTTAATTTTATAACTAATTTAATTAAATTTTAGTTTGTTATAATTGCATTAAATATTGTTCAAAATATCTAAATTAATTATATATTCATTTCTTTATTATTTATAAGCATAATAATGTTTACATTTAAACTTGTTATATACAAAGTTGAGGTTTTTTTCACGTGTAGTATAGAAATTTGTAATAAGATATATAATGCGGTTATAATAAAATAATGTGCGATTATTTTCATATAATTAAAATTAATATGTATTTATTATTTAGAAAATATAAGGAAAGCGGCGCATCCACCACTTCTAATGACGGCACGCCACTGGTTCTAGTGTATTTATATGAACAAAAAACGTTTCTTTGAATGTTTTAAAATGTTTCTTATTCTTTAATTCATATTAGTCTCAATAATTTCTGCTGAAGATACAATATATTTTCCAGCAACGCGTTGCTTAACTTTCCATATTTAAAATTTAAATTAATTTAAAACTTAAAATTGCCGTATTTAAAATTGCTTGTGGCGCCATCTGTTATGATATTTTATTTTTAAAAACTTTTTAATTAATATAATTAATTATTATAAAATGTCAAAAAGTTTAATTTTTAGGATAGAGAGAAGTTTTATTGAATATATATATGTGTGTATGTGCTAATAAGGAATAAAATCATTAAGTCCAACTCACTCGAGCTATGACACACTACCCCCTCTATCTCCCACCCTTCGACCTTTAACCATCAAAATTTAATAGCATCAATTCCCTTAATACACAAACATCCTTGCAAAATTTCAGAAATTTTCGACAAAAAGAACGAGTTACTAAGCTTTAAAGTGGGTGAACAAAATCGCTCCTCCTACACACATTAACATATATACATACAGAAAAAAATTCCAGATTTT